TCGACCTTAGTCAAGCACGACGTCGTACGACAAACCGTACGTGAACGATTTGTAGCACGATTTAACCTGTTTCATCGATAGGATCCCAGTGGCGGTCGCTCACGCAGTCACGACTATTATAACGGGTGAGCAGTCCTCCTTTCACACCGGACCGGCAAATACTTTCATCGATGCTAGTTTTTTGGCTTTACTCGCGTTTTGCCTTTTACCTATCCAGTTTTATTTTCTTTCCTTTCTTATTGCGTGAAAGACCGCGCTACTCTCACTGAAGCTGTCCACAACGTGAATCTTTCAATCCTATCGTGGGTACATGAAGCTCCTCAAACCGTCACATATTCTCCATAAATTTATCTTATAAAATGGAGCAATAAGACACGCGTACAAAGATCGCTATAGAACTAGCCCACTGCTAACCGCTACTTCTACCGCGCAAACAAAAAATTATAGATCAAGTCCAAGGCGCTTAATATAGCACGCGTTTACTTAAATCGGAGCAAGCCGACACGTTTGACTTCCGCTCAAGAATCCCAATGACAAGTGACATCGCGAAATAGGACAAAACGGAAGAAAGAGAAGCCGGAGTAGGAAAGGAAATCACTTTCATCGCTGTCTCAATCGCGATGGGCGTTCACCACGCTCACTCGGTCCGCCTTGGCCAGCGAATCGCGCGGTGCATTCCGTCAACGTTTCTCGAGGAAGAGCGACCAACGATCTGCTCCCTCCGCGTATGAATCTCGATCGCCCTATAGAGAAATCTACATCCACGTCGCTCCGGTCTGTATGTATTCCATCGTTGACATTCGAAATGGATGCCTTTTGGGGAGGTCGAATGATTACCCAGGTGCATCGGTAGTACCACTCGGACTCACCCCACGGATGCACTCTGATAACGGGGACCAGAATCGTTGAAACAGATTGCATCTATCGCAGATAGATGCTCTACAAATGGATACGAGTCACAAGTCCAGTAAGCAGAGATTTGCAAGCTTTAAAGAGCGAAACCTCGACTGTGTCCAAGCAAGAAGGGGATGCATAGCACGTGGCATTCAATTTTTCAATGCTAGCTTCGCCGTGACATCGAAAGTCTGTGGTGGTCTAAGATGTACAGGAGCATGTCGGTGTCGCGTTTCGTCGCATGAACGTATTTCCTACACGCTAGTGTAAGATACGAATGCGAGCATGCAGGTCCGGTTTTCAGGAGAGATCATCGTCTTGGAAGGGGAGAGGGAGAAAGCGTATAAGAAGGAGCGGTCCATCGTCAACTACCCGCAGTATCCCCATCCGTTTCTTCATCTCCACTGTCCTCGTCGAGTGGCCAGAAAATGACCTTTTGGCCTCATGTAAGTAACTAGGCCTTTCCTAAGGGAAAGACGGCAGGCAGAGATAAGTGGGGAAGCGGTGGACTGTGACTAAAAATTCCACTCCCCTCGCAAGTTGCGCTGATACTGCAAACAATGCCAGTGAAAAGTGTTTATTGGTATTCGCGGTACTTTCATCCGTACGCGATGGTTGGCTGACGTTCCGGTTCCCATTCGATGCGAGCTTCCATGTTCACACTGCAGAAGGAAGTAACCGTGGACCCATCATCGCGCATAAGTGATTTAGTAGCTTCCGATGACAGAGTTTGGAGCGTAATGGTTGTGAAATCTGTTCGGCTTAATTAGACACGCTTCCCTCGTCTCCGCGCCGCTCGTCTTCTTCAGAGGCTAATGGGTCGGAGACTCTATAACGTTAATGAAAGATTTCAGAGAACCATGCTTTTCATTTATTTTATAATTCGACTGTTTTAGGTGCTCGTAGTATGCTTGATTGCAAAGTCAGCGCTGGCCAGTATCGAACCAGGCGATTATGGAGGCTGGCAAGGGTAAGGGATCGCTCGATGTTCCTAGGGATTAAATTATTTTCCCAATATGTAATTGGTTCCTTGTGTAACAGGGTGTCCGGGGGTGGTAGTAGCTACGGAGGAGGACACGGCGTGGAATTGGGACATTTGTCGGGAGGTATTCACGATAGCTTGTCTAATTATGGCTCCTACGGCTACGGAGGTGGAGGAATCGATCACGGATTACACGGAGGACACGTCCAACACCATTACGCAGCTGCTGTACCAGTCAGCGAGCACGTCGAAATCACTAAGCCTGTCCCGATACCTGTAATCAAAAATATTGGTAAGTTAATTAGTTGCGCGAGAAAAAATTCGGTCTAAAATTAAATATAATTATATGATCTATAAATATGACACGGGAATTTCGACACCTCCCAATCTGGCGAGCAGAGCATCAACCACTTCAAATTTTCCAAATCGACACGCTGATTCCCTCTTCTAGGAATCCCCCCCATCAGTCGAACGCGCTTTCACGACTCGTTCCAAATATAACTCACACTAGACTCTTTGTCTGATCGCTAATAGGAGTACCTGTCGCCCAACCTGTGGCGATACCAGTGCCACATCCGGTGGCTGTAGGCGTACCACAGCCTTATCCAGTTCACGTGCCCGTGGCAAAGCCAGTGCCGATCCCTGTAGTGAAGACCATCGCGGTTCCAGTCGAGAAGAAGGTTCCGTTTCCCGTGGAGAAGGTGATCCCAGTACCAGTGGAGAAGCCCGTGCCCATTACGGTGGAGAAGCACATACCTGTGCCCGTGGAGAAGCCCTACCCCATCCACATACCTGTTTACAAGCACGTGTTCCACCGAGTAAAGTCTCACGGGCACGGATGGCATTAAACAACTCCGCGACGCGGAGATGTATTCTTACCGATACGCGTCTGCATGAGGGATAAGAACGCATGTTTCCCATGTTCGTCTTGTGACACACGCAATAGGATTCAAGTTCGCTTTCCTAAGAGACCACGAGGCTGAGTATCGTCCAGCGAATCGAGACGCCTACGTTGACAAGGGACGACCAATCGTCTCAGACCTTGATCCAATGTATTATTAAGCAGTATTTATGATTGTTCGTTTTGTTGCTCGGTTGCCAAATAAATGATTAATTGTTAATCGTATTTTTCATTTATGCGTTCGTGAGATCATTTAAGAAAGGATGATTTTCTTCGTATAAAAGCTTAAATAGTTCAACTTGTTTCTATTCAAATGGAAATGCACTGTTCGAAGTACCAAGAGGAATCATCCTTTTTTAGTTGTATCATTTCCCTGTTCGCTCTTTACTCCGATTCGACGCTGCCTGATGGATTACGCGTGCAGATTCATCGACGCGCCCCTATGACCCAGAGCTATCCGTCATTGTTAAGAGTTAGAGATTGTTCCAGTAATTTCCCATGCTCGGAAAACTCCATTTACTTCCTGTGAATCAATCCGACTAATGATTAGTCTAGCAGTGCAATAGTCGCGTGGACGCTGCCGTGTAATCAGGGACTATTTCCACGGCGCGGTCGTGCGTGTACCTTGAACTCTCGGAAACGTCGATACTATTCACGGCTGTCCATCTAAACGACAACTTGTACTTTTATCGTTAACTTGGATCAATTACGAAGTCCTCGTCGGAGTAACAGACCGTTTCATCGATTCCATAAGATACCTAAAGTATCATTACGACCAGTTGAGTCATGAATTTCTTTAAGCCTCGCCTTGCTCTTTTAATTATCATAATTTTCTGGATAGCTGCGAGCTGATCGCGTCCATTCGTTGTTAGTTGGTTTTAAGAGGTTTTCGTTATGCTCTCTCCACAAGCGCAACTCATAAATCGCTGAGGTGCGTGAGCATGTTACGTGTCTCAGGTATCACGGACATGCAATCGCCAGCCACCCATTTGTCGTCCGTCACGAGCGTTTTCTACAGTTTTTGTTGGAGATATTAATTACAGCAGTTTCGAAAACTTTCCTGGGCGTAGCAAACTCTTCGCAAGTTCAGGATAAACTTCTGCAAATGTTGCAGAGATGAAATCTCTGCGAGACCCTGATTTAATAATTAACGGTGAATGGATACTTGACGATAGTTTGATAAGATACATCGTAGAACTACAATTACGTACCTTCGTCGAGACACTTGAGACTGCGTCGAACACTTTCGAACTTCATTCGATACTTTGCGACACGATGACTGAAGTAGTAAGAGGTAATATAATTGCGGAAGGACCGAAGGGAAATATAAAACATAGAGAGTTGATCGGACTCGATGCAATGCAGAAAATTCGATCGCTATGATTCCATGCGAAGTACGAACTTAAATCTCTCTTCCTGTCCAGCTGTCGGTTTATGAAAGAAATTGATTATTCATCGGACAGGAATTCTCACGCTCGCTGGAGGCTCGTGATAGTCTATTAATTCCTTTTATTTGATTTTCTACGAAACCACGAAGGAAAATAAATGTAACTAAATTTCACTTTGCTTCCTGGCTATTTAAAACAGTAAAACATTGTTGGAAAACTCTTTCTCTACTGAAACAGAATCATGCTCAACATTTGCAGTATCGCTCTCGACAGAACCACTACTTGTAACTCATACATTATTAAAAGAAAATTGCATAAAAAGACGCACGCAATATCTTTATAAGCGTATCTACTAACGCAGTCAGTTTCATCCGATTCCGTCCCGTGAATTTCCTCAAAAAAACGACTTAACGATCGTCAATTTTTTATCCTGTAACATGCGACTATCGCCTTAATTACACCTGTATACCTTTCAGTGGCGATTGTGAATTAAAACGATCGAAGAGTCACTAGTGAAACAAACCTACGAAGCCAACGAATTGTGGGAATCTTCAGAATTCATCGATCCTTGAACATGTATTAACGTAATGTTACTGGTACGGTAGCAACAACAAATCAAAGATGATAGAATGTGAGTGTACGTACTCTCGCACGCCCACGAGTAATGCAGTTAATGTCTAATTCGCGCGGCGTTGGCGAATTAACAAAAGTGGCCAGCACACAGCTGTGTTCGTTGGACCGATGGCGGTGAAAGAATTGCACCGGTCGCGTGCAATTCACCGGCATGGGAGCTCAGACTAAACTACATCGTCGACAGTGAAAGGCTCACCGGTATATTAAGACGAGCAATGTGCAAAGATGTATCAGTCGGCGAAGGAACTGCTACAACCAGCAACCTGGTATCCAAAGCCAAATGCGCCCAAACATGAACAGAATCGTGAGTAAAGTATTCGGGCAACGCCTGTATCAGCACGATCATCCAAAACACTCTCCACCGTGACAAGGCGAAGTAAGCCAGCTCGTTAGAGATCGCACTAAACGTTCATTCTCTTAATTACTGTTCTTGATCGTCGTTACGATTACATTCAGAGACAAACGGTACGTTCGTGATAATCGAACGTAACGTCGAGTCTGGCAGGACTGAATTTACTTCGCTTTGCGACGAGTCGATTGAACTTTCATTAACGCGACAATCTACGCTTGATTCATTTCACTTGAAAGAACATTTCTATTATTCCGTCGCTCTCAGTAATTTCCAGAAAATACCTGAAAAAATTCACAAATCATCGCATGCATCTTCTACACGTTGAATCGAGTTATTACAAACGTAGAGTGATTCGTAAAGGACAGTGACCCCATCGAGTGGTGGCGAACGCGTTAATGTTCCTGGTAGGGTAATAATCTCGAGGATAATCTCCGACGGACTTTTCCCAAGTACATTCACCTCCATTCACTCGACGTTCGAATGCATGTTCGCTCAGACTTGAACTTTACCTTCGGGAACAGGCGCTGCTTTCTCTGGTGTCCTTGGCCGCGGCCGCGCCGGTGATCGTGAACCAGGATCAGAACTACTACCACCCTCAGCTGTACGGAGGTTTCTATCCGATAGAAAGGTCCGATCAGGATCATGGCTCGTCAGGGGGTGGAAGTTACGGAGGTGGCGATTACGGTGGCAGCTATGGCGGTGGTGGAAGCTATAGCAGCAACGACTATGGTGGCGGAGATAGTTACAGCAGTGGTGCTAGCTACGGAGGCGGTTACGGAGGCGACTTGGGAGGTCACGCTGGATACGAAGCGTCTTCGGGAGGTCACGGCGGTTTCGAGGCATCTTCGGGAGGTCACGGTGGCTACGAAGCATCTTCTGGAGGTGGCTTCGAAGCATCCTCTGGAGGACACGGTGGCTTCGAAGGATCCTCTGGACACTTAGGGTCTGGTGATTACTCCTCCCTCGGCGGTGGATACGAAGGTGGTGGCGATGGTGGCGTTTCTCTGGACGGAGGACATCACAGTGTAGTCCAGAGTGTCCCTGTATCCGAGCACGTCGAGGTTACAAAGCCTGTGCCCGTCAAAGTCGTCAAGCATATCGGTAAGTTAGCTTAGTCATTTTTTAATTAGCGTGTTGTTCATTTTTTTTAATAACAACTTCGATCACACTTTAGCTTTCGGTCGCTTCGAGACAATTTATTTCGAGTCGAGTACAAAGTGTTGAGCGTTAGACTGTTCGACTCGTCTTTAATTAATTGTGGTTATTTGCGTCTCCAACGTGTAATGCTTTTAATTTACTGTCGTTCAGGGGTACCAGTTCCTCAGTACTACAAAATAGCTGTGCCTCACCCGATACCAGTGGGTATCCCTCAGCAGTACCCCGTGGCTCAACCAGTGTCAAGGCCAGTGCCTGTGCAAATCGTGAAGACTGTGGTGGTGCCTGTCGAAAAGAAGGTACCGTTCCCCGTGGAGAAGCACATCCCCGTGCCCGTGGAGAAGCCGATCCCCATCACGATCGAGAAGCACGTGCCAGTGCCTGTCATCAAACCGTATCCGATCAAGATCCCCGTCTACAAAACGATATACCATCACGCGAAGAAGCATTAGATTTAACGATTCATCGGAGAACGTTCGACTTGACCATTGCCGAAACGATCGCAGAGATGTCCACCGCCATTGCTCGAGGTTCGCTTTCTGACTGAACAGCCAGCCCTGATGGAACTGCGGTGGAAGCACACAGAAGCCTCTGCATTCATAGCTTCACTTGTATATATGTTACAGCACTGTTGTTACTACTGTTCTATTGTTGCTAAGTCCATTTCCAAACGTTGTTGTTTATGTTTTTCAATAAAAAGTCTGGAGAAATATATACACGTGAATTCTTTCGGAGAGAAAGTGGATCGTAGCCAGGACCTGAGAGCAGATTTCCTTTTAGATATCAGGAGTCGTTTTATCTACCTCGTAAAACATACATGTGATTATCGGATGAGACACATTCTCGCGGAGCGTATGCAATTAACGTTCAAGATTATTTGTACTTTCGTATACGTTAATCGACGAGTGATTCGCAATTAAATTCTTGACATCGTAAATTTTTGAACGTCGGAAGCGAAGTATTTGACATTTGGGATAAATATTTGAAATTGTTCATTAAAATTCCTAACGATTCCACGAAGGAGAAACTCTCTGCTCGTGGACGATACTTTCCACGCAGGATTGGAAGGATTAGGTACTTTTTCTATTGCTTCGCACAAATTCAATACACAGCTTACACATTGATGTATCCGAGTTAAGTGCTCCAGATCGCAATCAAAACTTTCACTGGTATTTTTGATACCTTGGCAGGAGATTCGTGGAAAGTGAACGTTGCGGATAGACTACTTCAGGAATAGGTGGGAGCCTGATCGGCACAATCCAGCAGCGTAAATGAGCCGTGAAGACCAGGGATGCTTGTCTCGGAGCCATAAACAAAATTCGTAGGAAGTGAAGCTTCCTTTAACGTATTCCATATTTAGGTAGCCAACGCAAGAGTCTGACGATACAACGATTATTAGTCAGCATAGCAATACAGATGCAAATTAGTTTTCACGCTTACCGGAATAGTTCTTTTATTCATTATTATGTATTATTGATTGTGACGTGGGTTTATATCGGATACTTGCTTCTTAGAAGCAAGTCTAAATATACATGTTGTTAAAAATAGATTACTTGTTAGTTCGTCTAGAGTTTTATTTGTTTATTTTCACAGTACATGCACTTAAATGTAAAAGTAAAATACGTACAAAAAACCACAGTGGCCTTGATATGACCTTGCCAAATGAAAGAGCAGGGAAGAAATTATGTGGAAGACCTACAAGTTTCAAGCTCACGATTAATATTAATGGGTAGGCTGCTGACCAGTTTCAGGAAGTAGGAAGTACTGTTACAGTGTGAAACGTGGTGCAGTTTGTGTAGCAACATGTAGCAGTTCGATCGATCGCGTCTAGAAAGGTTAGCTATTAAGTTGCATAATGGAAACAAAAGGAAGTTGTTGGAAGAAAGATGCAAATCATGCGATTATGGGGACTTTCTATCTTATCAGTTGAATAAACAGATTATGTTAAATGTTTTTTAACCACTCGGTAAATAATTTGCATATTTTACATATACGTGGAGTCATATTTTCTCCTATTCCTGAGTGTCTCGATAATTTTAATCTTTGTACATTAAATAACAAATTTATTGCCATGATCGGCAGACCTTGCTTTATTACAAATAGAACTAATATATCCATAAATAATAAGAAAGTGAAATCACGAAGTGGCTACTAAACGAGTTTCACGAAATATAAATTGGATTTTTCTGGAAAGCAGGGGGATCGTGAATAATGCACCTAAGCACCGTGAATCCACTTACCCTTCTCTAGAAATACCTTCACAGGCCTCGACAATTTGACTTCTTACTTCAAACTTTTCGAGTGTATTCTAATTACTTCCACGTTCGGGAAGTGTAATTCGTTAAAAATCATTACACACGCTGGAAGAAAGCCTCCTTAAGGAAAGACGGAAATCCTGCGTTATGTAACAGCCTCGACGGGAACCCACGGCGTTAGAAGGAACCAGAGAAGTGTAACGTGCCACAGTGAAGGTGGCGAATAGGATAGTGGGGTCGCGTGATTTTCTCTGTGCAGCTATATAAAGTGGCAACTGGAAGAATCCCTCTTGAGTTTATCTTTTATTCACAAGGTACTCATATGCGCTGCCGAGGAACACAATGGAGAAGCTCGTACGTGATTATGCCATCGTTAATGCCTGTAATCGATATCGATTAAGCGCAATGCGGATCCTAAGATGTCTGTGTCATTTTTCTGTAATGCTGAAGTTCCTCGATGTTTTTGTTTGTAAGATTCTAATACTGATGACGGTCGTTGGGTCATGCTGGGCTAGCGAGCTGGGCGGTCATGGACTGACATTGGGGGAAATCGATACAGGTCACGATGGGCACGACATTGGTTTGGGTGAAATAGGTCCGATCGATAATTAAACCAGGATTATCATAGAACTATTCACGACGACAATTACAATTATTTTGGATTCTCTGATAACATTCAAATTTTTTTGTTTCACAGACGCGGGAGGATGGGACTCGCATGACCTGGGAGGTCATGGTGGAGGCGGCCATTTTATACCCGTTATTAAAACAATTGGTAATTAGGTCATCGCAAATCTTAGCCAAATTCTTATTACTCGAATAAAATTGAGCTCGTCGTTAAATTTCATTCCAACAGGGGTACCAGTGGCGAAGCACGTCCCATTTGTCGTCCATACTCTCCAAGTCGAAAAAGTTCCGCAAAGCTACCCAGTTCCAGTTTTTGTATCGAAACCAGTTCCTTATCCGGTTCGATTAATTTCATTATCTCATCCGGTCTTGCTTTGCGTCTGCTCTAACAAACGTAAAATTTATTTGTCTAGGTGGAGAAGCAAGTGTTCACGAAAGTGGAGAAGAAGGTGCCCACACCAGTAGAGAAGATCATTCCTGTGAAGATCGAGAAGCCAGTTCCGTTTACTATAGTGAAACACGTTCCTGTTCACGTGGTGAAGCCAATTCCCATCAAAATTCCAATTTACAAAACGATCATTCACCGTCACAAGGGACATTGATCGCGGGACGTTGGATTGTTGATTGTTCTGTATTTATTTCTACATGTTACGCGTTGCACTTTTTGATTTTGTACTTTCATTTAATTTATTAATAAATTATTTATGTGATTACAAACGTGTCGGTGTAAGATGATTTCCAATCGTTGCTTTATGGGCGAGGAAGCTTACTACTACGTTGATTTAAATTGCAAACCACGACAAATTAATTCCTACATTTATAATCAGGGATACAGGAAACGAAAGACTACCAAGTTACGATGTTACGTTCACGCGACGTCACGATTATTGGTCGTTATTTCGCGACAATGATGAAGTATGACGCGGAGGAGAAAGGAGAGCGTACGTACAGGGCGCTCGTAGCGAAAGTAATCACCGCGAATGCTTTCCTCTGTCACTGACCTTCGTTAATTCGCGGCAGAAAAGTAACGTAACGGGGAAAAGAGAATGCATCTGTCACGCTCGAAATTTGCTCCTCTCCAAATTCCTCTAGATCGTTACAAGGTTAGATTCGCATCAGCATGCGGTTGTACGTTGATCAAGACATCTTATTATTTTTAATAATCGTCGAGGTGCCGAAGGAACGAGGAACGTGTTCAAAATCGACTTTCACTCTCGATTTTACCAATCTCAATCCCAAACGCGGAAAAGAGGAAGCGTTTAATCGAACCTCACGAGCGCATCGTTAACGCAAGAAATGATGAGGTAAGTGATGGATAGTCAAGTTCATTTGCAAAGAAAGGATGCGTTATCCTTCCGTCAAACGATCATGCAAAGATTCTTTATGCGATCGATCCCTCAAAAGACGAGAACGAAATGAAGTCTGCGCGGAGAAAGTAAGGAATGCAGATGATATGCCATTCTGTCAATCAGGACAGTCACAAGGATATGGACAGTGTCCATTAATTTTGTCTCGCCCAAGCTGAACTGTAACGCCTTTCCTGAAGGTCTCCTTTCCTATCCAGAACACAAGACTGGGAAAATATTCAGCAGTCCCTCCAACTTCTGTGTTCCACGGTAACGTGCGGCGATGCTTTTCGCGAATGTTGTCGAGAAATCAGAGCTCTATTCATCAAATTGGATGGCCTTCGTGCCCCGGGACAGCAAATTCGGAGAAACGGCAATATTCGGTGAAAGTATAGAGAACGGTTATCCCCGATTTTCTATCTCGAAGGTCTGACAATTTTGATTGAATGTGTGTCTGGGGAATCCGATGGAATAACGCTGGCGTTTAAAAGAGAAAATTCAGTTGACTTTCTTGATCATTTGTCGCACCTACTTCCTGAATTGTATACGTCTTGTTTATTTTTGCAAGCGACCCTTTCGTAAATCGAAACGTTACGCTTTCTGGGAAAACCTAATACTTGCGTTTAATGTAAACATTGTCTCTATACTTAGCCCGACGGAAATTCACGCATAGTAAACAGTGCAGCCATGTAAACCGTACCGAAATCCGAGACAAACTTTCCACCGTGAAATGATAGCTCACGGTTGCATGGTCCCCTATCCAGAGATATTACCATATTACATATTATCCGCATTAGCATTAAATTCCTGCCACAGTTGCATTTAACTTCTGTTCTATCTCATCTCCGGGCTTCTGGGATTAATATACACGTTAGCGGACAACCAAATTGCGTCGCGATGTTTCCTGGACGACGAGGTGGCGTTGAATAATTAAAGCCTTGCTAGAAGTAAGAGGATCCCGCTCCGCATGAGAATTATAAATTTTCAAAGCCAGGCTCGGAGAAACGCTACTGGTATCATCCGAGCCCAAAAATGTTCAAAAAAAAAAAAAAAAGATCTACGAAATTACAGGCAGGTACAGTTTCTTCTCCCACTCTTGACTCCTTCCCTCATCTGTGGGATCGATCTTGAAGGAATGAATTTTTTACAGTGGCACTAATTCAGGAAACATTTATTTAAAAAAACACAGGGAAGCGTTTCGATGGTCTGTAACTGTGAGAAAAGTGCAACTCTATCTCCACAATCCAGCATACTTTACCAGAGTGCCAACAATAAGAAGAAAGGAGGAAAAGCCGAAGCAACCATGCAGCAAAACACTAATATATCTGTAGAAGAAGCAGGAATTATAAAGCTTATATAATTCACCGATTCAATGATTCGCTACGAAAGTACTGTGTTTATAGACACGATAGTGTTCTACTGGTTTAACAGATCCGATAATTTTCCATTTTCTAATTTGTTATGCAAATATAGTTGGACATTAAATTAGCGATGATACGAGGAATTATAATAAAATGATGAAAAAATTGATTAATTACGACGATAAAATTCACCAGAGATAATATTCAGCAAAGAAAGGAGGAACATTCCCTTCCATAAATATGTATAAAGTATTGCGGTGAATGTGATTCGCTTGTAATATACGGATCGTTATTTTGTAGAGTAATTATGCTACAGGAAACCGCGAGAAAATCAAGATAAAAGTCATTTGGTTCTTTCCGTTCTTGAACCTCGCCCCAAAAAAAGATTCAACATAGCGCAGAAGAAAATTCTTTCTGAGAATTATGAATAATACGCCGATGAAAAGATTAAGTTATCAAGTTTCATACTTTGGATCGACTGTGGAATTTGTAAGTTGATGAATTGGTGTGAGGTCGGAGATTCCTGTTTCCTTTTGAAACTCACGATTTCACACAGCCTGCAGTTACATAGTTCATGACTTCCCATAAATCTTGAGGAACTATCGCAGCTGGCTCTACTACCATTTATTACGTATTAGGAAATGGACCCCACGCAAATGTGACGGTTGATACTCATTAATGGAAGAGCGTGACCAAATGTAAAATAAATAAAAAAAAAAGTAAAAAAGGAAGTCCTCGAGTTGATCACTTTTTCACGAGAGATCCTTTCACACAGAGAACGCGCTCTGACTTTCATTCCGTCGCGTCGGGCCGAAAAATTTGCTCAGCTTTGTATCTCTTTACAGCAGAGAACGTTCTTCACCTTCACTTCCGGTAAAATTGAGATTTACGTGATACAGCGCGACTGGCTACACCCGAAAAAGAAATCGTACGAGTAGCCGCCCTTTCTCGCATCAGTAAGCCGAGTGCTTTCGAAGAATTTCGCTGATCCGCGCTAAATTCCTCGGAGAGGACGATTACAATTTATGCGCGCGATTAATGAATTTCTTTTTCGACCTGTGTTCTCGAATATCCAATTCCGAACGCAACCTACACGCGTTCAGTTGCCACGTAGATGAAATCGTCTTTGGAAGTTATCGCAACCGCACGAGGCGTTCACTTCCGGTAAGTGGAACGGCCGTGTAAATTTGCGGTTGCATCCGAAGGCGTCTTTGATCTTCCGCTTTGTCGGCGACTTAGCTGTACTCATAGAATTATTTATAATTCCATTTAAATTTGGACGTTCTGAAATCTAGATTAATCTTTGCCTTGGACGGGCTTCCTCCTTCGACGGAGAAGGTTTCCTCGTGTCCTGGGTACTTGAATAAATAAGAAACGATTCGACTAAAGGTTTAATTTAAATTCATTTCAACTCTATTAGGTAATTAGTTGACGAGAGTGTACCATACTCCTTGCAGACAAGATACGGCCAGACCTGATATCGATAAAATTCTTCCATTCAAGCCAAAAGCGACCCACTGAACGGAACGTATTACCCTAACGACGAAACATTTCCATTCTGTGCACTTCCCGCGGTCTCGAGCACGCGTAATCCTAACTTCCGGTGCACTGTAGACGGAGAACGGTTCAATGAACCGCGCGAAAAATGAAACTCAAACCTTTCATATTCATCGGTGCGGTGCATAGACTTCCTCCGAAGGTTGCCATGTGGTGAGGCCTGAGGCAGTATACCCTGGAAAGGGTCGACACTCTAGTGCAAGGAATCAGTGAAAGGTGGTGGAATCGATGTTACTATATAAGCTCGGTGCTCTACTTGCCATAGACATTCAACGTTCAGTTCCTGTGCTCATACAATTAACGAACCCATCCGAATACCTGCAATTATGAATCAAATTGTAAGATTCCTATTCAACAATTATATGTTAACGATTTATTAAGCTCGAGTAGTACTGCTACCCTCTATTTGCTAATGGATGAAATCGAAAAATACCCACTGTACCAACGCATTCAACTCAGGATTAATCATTTTACGTGTACAGATTGCATTGATGGGCTTCACTGTGTTTGCTGGAGTGGTCTCTGGAGGTCATTACGACGAAGATCACGGTCACTCGACCTACGAGGAGAAGTCAAAGCCAGTGGAGATACCAATTTATAAAAAATATGGTAAATATTTTAGACTGAATATTTAGACTTAATCTAATTTTGAAGTAGATATATAAACGCCATCATTTTCGAGAACGTGGTAATCATTAATAGCGTTTGTTTATCTTTCCAGCGATCCCGATACCTCATCCGGTGCCAGTGGAAATTCCTCAAAAGATAGAAATCCCGATCCCGCAGCCTCACAACGTTCCTATCGAGATTCCTCATCCTTACCCGGTCGAAGTCGTCAAGGAAGTTCAAGTTCCCATCGAGAAACCAGAACCCGTTGTAGTGGAGAAACATGTAAGCATAAGCGTTCAAGTGTCTTACTAACGATATAACGTTGGATAGCTCAATCACGTCCCTATGATCGATCGCTCTAACGTCTAATCTCGCATTCGCATAGGTGCCTTTTGTAGTGGAGAAGCCGTATCCAGTATACGTGGAGAAGAAATTCCCGATTCCCGTTGCCAAGCCGTATCCAGTTCATGTTCCAGTCTACAAGCACGTATTCCATTACACTTCGAAGGGCAAAGGATGGCACTAAGCTACCGTTCAGCTAGCTGCTGATCCGCTTGGAATCTTTTCAACGTCCGAAAATTATTTAAATGAACTCGGTAATCTGATCTGTGCGGGCACACTCTCTTTCCATGTATTGGAAATCTGTAAATTATTTTGTAAAGCATGACTATATTTTCATAGATAGGAAATCCTATGGATATCCCATCTGGGAAGATATAACATACCTGTACAGACTAGATTGTTGACATCCAGATTCATCCACGTCGATGATGGCGATACTCTCTCGACGCAAACGACGTAGATACGAGGCTCGTATCGACATCGTTTCGGTCGACACCAACGTTGCCAATGCTATTGTTATTGTTACGATTTTATACACACGTTAAGTTTTCTTACTCTAGTATCTAGTAGCGTGTTCTTTGTTAATAAACTATGTATGAAATGTCTCCTGATGTTGAATTAATCAAGATTACACCAGGGATGGGTAACATTTTATTCGAATAACGGTTGGGTTGATCGAATATTCCGTAATAAGTAAATTCGCCTTTATTTGTCATTCTTTACATTCTTATCTACATACGAATCTTGTCCATCCCTGAATCGCACTCGAAGATCGTTAACCGCTGACGTTCGCGTGCCTGAGTAACCCTGCGCATGATTCAATTAGTCGAGATTGTTTTTCCTGAGATCGACAGGAAACGGTATTGGGTCGTGACGGTAGCAAACGCGTCTTCCTGGTCTATCGACGGAACAAAGAGGGAACGCGTAACCCCCTCACGCTTCGCTCCCTTGTCATGTGTTACGGATCGACTGGAAAGAAACCGGCCACTAGCAGAGAATTCTGCGCGATCTTGATTCCCCATAATGAGCCCGAGACAGTAGACAACAACGTTCTTGCATCGAAACCACTTTTACTCGGGATGCACTTTCACTGTTCCGCTCGCTGATACGGGGAGTACCGCGTACGAATCGAATCTTCCGTGCAACTTCTCTCCCATGGCCACACCCCACCATCTCTCTCTCTCTCTCTGAACAACTCTCGTAATGTTCCAAGTAAATGTGAACATAGGTAGTCTGTTGGGGTGGTCGATTCATACAATCAGATATACGATGGATAAGCACCATCTATGTTAAAACGACCCTCTTTCTAGGGTCAACCTATAGAATGACCATTATTTAATTACCTTTCATACCCCCTGTCTATATTATCTCTTTGGAAAGAGTTGTACTCTTAATCGATCAAATAATGTACAATTCCTATGCACAGCTTTCTCATTGATCTTCCAGGAGCAAATAAATAAAAACTTCTCTCATTTAAATAAGTATGGCACGCCCACTATTGATGCAAGAAATTCGCTGGAGTCTTGCACAGTGTACGTAAAATGTTTTCAAGGTGTGCGTACCAGGGACCATTTGAAAGTTGTCTATACGACGCGGCCAGACGATCGCAGCAAATTTGATGCATTCTACAATTTCACCTGGATCGAGTATCTCCAAGGGCGTCAACGTCCTTATTTTATTAGGATAAATATGATCATGTACGAACGTACGTGTTTAGTTAATAAAAATGCTACTGACATTGTCGAGTGGCGAATCTCCCCGCAAACTGATCGTGATGATAGTACCGCGCGTGTGACTCTGTACACCATGGGCGCGAAAGCTGCGACAGCGGTAAACGTTGTTCAGGTATCGCGTGTTTACTTGAGATGAAACCGTCGAGACTAGTAGTCAACCTGACTGACAGTAATTTACAAATTGTTGACTGCGAACTAGACCACGACTAACTTGCGTTCTCCGTGGTCGAACGAGCTCATTCTCGATTCTTGTCTGCGCCAGAGATTACTATACTTAATCCCGCCTCTGACTGTCGAAAATGAAATCATCGATCATCGAAGAACAATAGGAGTAACTGCACCCGTAATCACTCAATGAAGAGATAATCGAGGCGCCGGGAGCAACTTCCTTTCGCTGCAGTTATTTCCTTCCCGCCGATACATCGTTCATTCGATACGGTGAAAATCGAAAGCGACTATTGTGTTTGGAAGGTATCCGTGGGAGCGGTAAGTTTCTCAAATATCTCTCGTGCGTTCGCCTAATTACTGACGCGTAAATAGCTTGACACGGAATTACGTGGATGGTTCGTTAATTAGGCTCGAGCATCTCGTCCGCGTTGAAAGAAAATTCTTACGAGACAGATTCTGCATTCGGTGTGCGAATCGAAGAGATCGGTGGCGATAGTGAAACATCGTGTAATGCTAATTTCATTAATTACGCTATTAATTTACGGTGTAAGATTTAAAGAAATTGTAGGCTTTACTACGTGCGAATGCCAGGAAGAGCGAATGCTCGCCCAATCTTGGATGTATTATTATGTCTGCACAGACAAACGAGGAGCTATCGTATAGGTGCACGGATATACAGGACGAGTAGAAAGAGTCAACATAATGGAGAGAAGGGAGAAAGTGACGTTGGTATATAAACACTTGGCCGTGACTTTGAAAGGCATCAAACAGTTCGTGGCGATTTAACACTACGGGTTTGAGCGCACTGGATTCATTCGAGCGTGATCGTTGGGTACACCAGAATACCATGAGGATTTTCGTAAGTTTGTAACCGAGAGTTTCTCAACTCGCGAAGTTTCTTGTCGTCGCCGTCACCTCGCACAAGTCCCTTAATCTTACTTAAGAGAATTTCTCGAGTGGCAAAGTTTCGAAACGTGCACCGAAAGTTTGTTCAGATTTTTGGCGATTTAACGATCATTGCCTCGACTTTAGATATTAACCGCATTGGTGGCAACGGTGTGCGCCTCTTACGAGGAGGGCCATGGCGGCTCCACCTACCACGAAACCTCGAAACCCGTGGAAATTCCGATCTACAAAAAGTACGCCATACCGATTCCGCACCCAGTTCCAGTGGCGGTTCCGCAACACATCAAGGTGCCGATCCCGCAGCCGTACCAGGTCGAAGTTGCAGTGCCGCATCCAGTGCCGGTGGAGGTCATCAAGCACGTAGAAATCCCAGTGGAAAAGCCCGAGCCATACGTAGTGGAGAAAAAGGTACTTGGTGAACTTTGTACGCCATAGAAGCTTTAATTCTTTAATGGATAACGCGATGGTCCCTTTTATGTCGACGTCTAACAGTTCTGCAGGTTCAACCACTTATATAATTTAAGTATTAAGTAATTGATGAATGGTACGATCAACCGCGAAGCAATTTTTTCTTTGAATCGAAAAATAAGTTTCACACAATGAGGTATTTAGAAATATCTACCTCAGTTCTTCGTCAGTCGATACGCGAAGGTATTCGGGACGGTGTAGCTTGGCGAGGATTGTTGTCGACGACATCTTGCTTTGTCCATTTTTGGATAACTTGACCTGTGAGGAATTGTAGCTGTCACTCTCTTTTAAGTGAAAAGCATTTGATACTCTAGAATCGATAACAATTATCGTTGAACTCGCAGTACTAGTTTGATCGCTTCATTATGTACAAATATGAGAATTTTGAAACACTGAAACGTTGATGTTGTACAGGTGCCGTACGTCGTCGAGAGACCATACGCGGTGACAGTTGAAAAGCACTACCCAGTGCCCGTCCCGAAGCCGTACCCGGTCCATGTACCCGTCTACAAGCACGTCTTCCACCATCAAAAAAGCCACGGTTGGAAGCACTGATCCAAATAGATCATTGACACAAGCTTCTGAAGCAGTTTAGCCAAAAATGTAACGGATAGAAACGCGTCGTTTCTTGGAATAATACCACTTGTACATAGTGTATACTTAATGTATTGTTATGCTGTTTAAATAAATTCTTTTCATTGTTTTATAACTATGTCCGACACTTTCTTCCATTCGGTACGGCGATCGATTTCGAAAGCGCGCTGCTCTCCCTAGATTCGTCCAGTGCCAGGTAAGCGGCCGTGCGAGTCACTTTTTATTTGTATTACAGTATTTCTTAATTGGGTCACTTAATCCAAATACGATTTCTTTGATCCGAGGACCGCGTACTCGGAGCGTTTTCTTGGCTTAATTACCACCAAGGCTGTAATGAAATGATTACTTTGTAACGCGGAGAAAGCAAAAGTCGATGATTTTACAAATGAATCTATAAACCGGTTTCTAGATCAGTGAATAGTTCGTTGCCAGTGCAGCAAAGGCAACGAACCTTCCATGATGATTCGATGATTAATCATCGGTTGACTTTGGGGTTGACAGTCTATGTTGAAAGTCACTATATGGGTCTATGTCTAAAGTCGAGCAATTACGAGTGATTCACTCAGAAACAAACTTCGAAACTCACTGTTTCTCTTGTTTCTGAGCATTGTAAAATTCTGATAATTTTCAGAAAAATTCGAGGGATTTCTCTGACAGTATAGGACGTTATACTTTTTCAAAGGTTAAATTTGAATAAAATGTTATAGAAATGCTATGTAGGATAGAGGAAGAATCCCTATCGGTTCGAAACGTTATAGCCCGTCCTGGATATCGGACGGAGCGTAATCACAGATAAAACGTAGTGAAATTGACTGGCCATAAATTAAATAACGCAGTAGTAAATATTTCAAGCAATCGTACCTTTCGTTGGCCGCGCGGCAAATTTCTGCAGGCTACACCTGCAGCGATCCGCAGCTAGCGCGTTTCGAAGGCTTGCCCTCCGGTTTTGTCGGTCCAGAAACCAGCCAATGACTGACCGACGGTGTTGTAAATGACGAACGCCTAACAGCGACCACATAACGCGACTGCACGCCCCGAGGTGCAGAATTTATTCAGGAAATACCGGGGCGCGACCGATTGCATCATGGGCTTGATCGACGACCGCTTTTTATGGCCGCTTAAGGGAATCACATTCGACATCGGGTCGCAAGAAACCTGCCCCGTTTAAGTGGAGCAAAAGTTTATAAAACCGCCGACCACGCACGACGCGCTTCTAGTTTCGTCCTGGACATTAGATCCGGCGTTCTTCGAAGGGATTGTTCAGCCTACGACAAAAAGTCATGTTCAGGCTACTGGTAAGCAGTCGTAGAGATCGTCGATTGTTCGACTCGCTTCAGATCATTTTCCACTTTGCATTTTACAGACGGAATAGCGTGAGGCTAATCGCTACGAATAGTATTCTACGCTAGCGTAATCTGTCTGTATAGTTAGAGTGTAACATTAGTGTGCTTCGACGGAATTTCTATTATCTATAACCAAACCAGTAATTACTTTTCCTAATTCCCAGATACCGTGCCTCATATGGCTCTCGAGCGTCCGCTCCGAGGCTGCGACGAGCATGCACATGCACATGCCCATGCCCATGGCCATGCCTATGATGGAAGGTATGATGGAGGACAAAGCCATGAACGAGGCTATGATGATGAAGTTGAAGAGGGACTCGTATCACAATCCGTGTCCTCCGGTATACTCTCATCCGGTGTCATACGCGCCACCACCACAAATTATCGTGAAACCAGTGGTCCATCCGGCACCTGCACCAGTCGTCCATCAGCCTGTGGTTACCTACGTGAAACCTGCACCACCTCCACCTCCACCTCCAGTGGTGGTGAAGCCTGTGATCCAACCCAAGGTGGTTTCTGTCCCCGTCTATCATAAACCAATGGTCTCCTACGCGCCAGTTTACCAGAAACCCGTCTACTATCAGCAAACTTATCAGAAAGTGATGTACGAGCCACCAAAGGTCTACTTTAAGAAGTACGAAGTGCCCGTGCCTCAAATCGTACACCTCCCTCAGTACCACCCACCGAAAGTCGTGCAGGTGCCCGTGCAACCCGTCCACCCTGTCGTTCACCCCATGCCCGTCTATCACCAACCTGCCGCGAAACCGTGGTGCCCTTAAAGGATTCAAGAATAGACTCGATCGATCCTCCAGCTTCGAACGTTCTGGACACGCAGAAAGCCTCGATCTTCAACTGTGAAACCATCTTCTCCCAACGAGACTGCCAACTACTGCCACTACTGCCTTTACCCGCCACAGCGCGTCGTAATCGAACGCAATTCAGCGAAGT